TTCCACGTAAGTAGGGTGATCAGACGAATCACGATCAGATCTACGACCTCGAGTCGAACTTGTCCTTGCAAAGGGCATAGTTTCCAGCAAGAAGTCGTCTTCTGGAGAAGTTGCACTGCAATGCACAAGTGATAAGCAAAATAAAAGGACCATCAACACAAGTGTAAACTTTGCAAGCAACATGCAATCGCTTTCTTACCAATTTCGACTTAAAGTGCGTGGGGCTTCTTCCCACAATAAAGCGTGAGGCAGTATATTGTCACGTTCGCTTGAGCTAGCAGACTGATTCAACAGGTCATAACCCGAAACTGTTTGGGTGAATGGCTAAAACAGTGACACAAATGAAATTATGGTTGAAATACGTAAGCCTTAGGTACGCACGTGATTTGTCTGCAATGCATCCAGACGATGCTTCAAATCCAGCACCTCATTGAATCTTTTGGTCTCCAACTTCAAATGCTCATTACGGACTCGTTTCAACTCCACCTCGAGCTTAATCATTGCTTGCTTATTTATTATGTGTTGAAAAAATTGCAACATGTCAAAATAGCAAAGAAGTCTCAAAATAATCAATACCTCTTGTATTTTTTCGTCTTTCCCTCGTTTTTCTTCGCTAACAGAGGCAAGTTCAGCTTGCTGTTTTGCGATCTTCTCTTGAAGCTTGTCACGCAGCTGGAATAAATGTGCGCCAATTGAAAAACTTTGTTGTTCTAATATCCCTATCACTTGAAGTAGACAATCATATGAATCATGAATGTACTGTGTTAACGCACACAAGTTATATAAAGCGAGAATAGTGAACGGGCGGGATTTAGGCAACCTTAACTCAGAAAAGATCCCTTCTTCTTCACGACAGCTGATGCTCCTGGTGAGTAGTGCACTCGCTTATTATATTTGAGGGAACAGTACGTAAGAATAGGTCGAAAACGACGACAAGGTCTGTACAATGGAAAAAGATACCGCTTCAGCGTCCTTAATTTTCGAATTGTTGTCCTTCATGATTGCAAGGAGCTCGTTGCAACGTTCATCAGCACGACTACGCTCACGATCACGATCTTCTGCCTAAATGTTATAAACTTTTTCTAAAAGTGAGAGCGTTGCAACAGTTACTCGCCTCCTTAGCCTTCTTTTCCGCCTCAATTTTGAGTGTTTTCAGATTAGATTCAATAAGACGGCGTTCTTCTTTCTCGGCATCAAGAGCAGCTCTAAGTATGATAATTATCAAAACACAAGCTTCTTTTTGCTAATAAATCTGCCAAATATATCATTACATGTTAAAGACAACCTATTATCACGTCCGAATGTCTAATAAAATAATGAACAATTATGCATTTGTTCCAAAATTCATAAGCATACTCAAACACAATTCACCTACCGAATAATTTCCAACTCCTGCTGAGACTTTTTCAGCTGTGCACGAAGTTTAGCCGCTTCACGTACATCAGAACCAACTACAGCCACGGGAACTGTTACGGTTGAAGAAGCAGGTGTCTTTTCCTTTTCATTTTCCGCCTCTCCAAAGTCGTCACCAAAGTCCGACCAACCTCCAGAACCACCAGATTCTGTATGATTTGATCTATTATTGCATCTCTGACCATGGAAGGAGAATTTATGATGAAATCAAGGACCATATATACCTCCAGCGCTACCGTCCTTCCTGTTCTTATCCATTTCTTCGATCATTCCGGACAAAGTCACATTCTCCAACTCAAGGTTGCTCTTTTCCACCTTTAGTTTCTCAATTTCGTCATTGACAGCCTGAAATACTAACTTTAGGAGATCATAAACAAAGAAAAAAGAGTGGTCGCGTTCAAATTTCTGCAATCTCCCACAGAATAACAACTAACATCATATTCCTTCTTAAGTTTTTCCAAATCCTCATTTGCTTTCTTCAGATCAGCAGATGTTTCCTTCTCACTGCGGCGTTCATCTGGAATAGATGTATAGAACCCAGAAATCAGCAATTAGTGAGAAAAAGAAACACACCTTCAAGATCCTTCTCGAGCATCTTTAGGTTCTTCTGTGTGGACAACAGTTCATCAGTCGTGCGCGAATGAGCTTTCTCCGATTCTGCCAAGAGATGTTTGCAATCAGCAGCAATCCTTTCTGCCTCATTCTTTTCATTGCGTTGAACAGCTAGCTCAGCCTCAGTTGATTCCAACAACTTTTCGGCTCGATCCACTTCCACTTTCAAACTTTCATTGCTGAATAAGTAAACTTTACAAAAACGGTTATAGTCACCTTCGTTTGAAGTTAGTTATGTCTTCCCCAAAAAATTTCGTAATTGATTGGCATGTAGAACACTGCATGATAACTTGTATTACTAGATGGAGGGAGCAGATACTGGAAAAAAGGGGAGTTCACTTACGATCTGAGAAGTTTCTGAATTTCGGACTCTTTCCAACACAATTCCTCGCGAAGCGCAATTGCACCATCATCTTTGCCTTGAGCACGACTAGCGGTAGAAAGAAGCCTTAATACATATGCGATTAAGTAGGATTTCCTAAGTTAAGGAAGAAAAAAATGATATCGAAAATCAAACCTGTTAATTTCTATATCTTTCGCTTTGAGCTGCTCCTCCATAAATTTGCAATTTGTCGCAAGGTCGTGAGCAGCCCTAAGAATAGAATGATAGTCATATGGTCCAAGCAAAATCCTATTAGAACAAAACTGTAATTTGCCTGCCAAGCTTGAGTAGCATTGTACAGATAAGTTTAAGATTATTTATCAGGAAATGATCCAACTACAAATTACGGCTATATACGTATTCTTCCCTTATATCTCCAAAAGGGCATTACATTGCGACTTCATGCAGATAAAAGTTTTGAGAGAGAATGATAAGCTTACATTCTGTCAAAGACGTTCGCATCGTTGAAATCCGATATGAA